CGACTTGAAATTTCAAGTCACTAGATAATTGCTTTATACTTAAAATATCCTTGTAGATTCATAATGTTTTTATTTTTAATAAAGCTGATTAGATGTTCGAAATGTATGGTGTTTTAAAGTAAAATACAGCGTAAAAATTAAATTATTAATACTATTAAATTTCTAAATGTATATCACACACATTAATAATCATAATAATCTAAAACAATTTTTATTTATTTTAAATCCTTTTTTATCATCTAATTTTCCACAAAGAAAAACGTTAATTACGTTTTTATGTTGACACATTTTGATGACTTATTGGAATTATCAACAAAATAACAAAATAGCCACGAAAGAGTGCACATTATGGCGCGAAATCTTCTAGCTGAAAAATTATAATACTTATACAACATTTGGATATGTAGTTGCCTTCTTTCATCGTAACTAAGCGTTTTTATTTTATTAAGTCGATCCACATCTATATCACTACACTCTGGTCAGTTGAAGAACGTGCCATTTAGTCAATTAAACTCATCAATTTTACATAGCTACTAGACGAAATAAGTGATACAATTTAACAAAATGTATGCTTTACACGTGGCTTCTTCTTCTTCGTCCTTAAATTTTGGTGTTGGGAGGGATCGAGCCTTATCTCGAGAGGGTTTGAACCAGAGACTTTTTCGAATTTAACAACCATGAGCTTTTGCCGACTCGACCACGCCTCCATCACAATTAAAGATACGTATCAACTGGTTATGCGCCATTGAGGCCATTGACTCCGATTTCAGCCTGCTTTTCTTTTTGGATTTGCTTCTATAACCTTTGTCCAACAAAACTATAAGGCAAATGTTGTTTGATTTTGGAGTTGTTTCTCCTAGAAGAGTGGCTGTCCCCAACTGTCAAGCCTCACCTGCTCGAGGGTTCCTCCTTCTTCTTCGTTCTTAATTTTTAGTGTTGGGAGGGATCGAGCCTTATCTGCCAGAAGGTTTGAACTCGAGACGTTTTTTTTTTTCGAATTTATCAGCCATGAGCTTTGCCGACTCGACCATGCTTCCATCACAATTAAGGATTACGTGTCAACTGGTTATGCGCCATTGAGGCCATTGACTCAGATTTCAGCCTTTTCTGTCCATCTGCCCGAGGGTTCGAACTCGAGACTTTTCGGTTTAGCAACCATGAGCTTTAGCGACTCGACCACGCCGACCCCCCCCCCCCCCCATCGAGGGTTCCAACTCGTATCTTTTAGGTTTAGCAACCATGAGTGTCCCTGACCCCCAGACAACTAAGGGCTAAGAACGCCGATGTTTCGGTAGATTGTAACAAAGGGTTCACCGAACCCTTCTTAATAGTTCCTCTGTCCGCACTAACACATTCCAATAATGGATTGATCGAGACCAGGTTAAGAACCTATGGCTCAATGTTTGTGCAAAAGTATGCTAGATTTTATGAGTATACACCAGTGGCGTAGTGAGGTCGGGTGTTACCCGGTGCGGCACTTAATGGTGCCCCCCCCCCCCAGAGACGTAGCGACCATTCCCGGGGACAAACTTTCAAGTTTTCGATTTGCACCCCCCCCCCCCTCAAACTTTCGATTTGCACCCCCCTCCCCTCAAGTTTTTCTCTATATATTTTGCTATTTTTTGCCTTGGTGTCACCCCCCTAAATGGTGTCACCCGGTGCGGTCCGTACCCCCGCCCCCCTAGCTACGCCCCTGGTATACACTACTGCTGGGCAACGTAATTAATTTAATGAGATTACGTGCAAATAATGCAGGCTCTATTTTAGTAATTGCAACTTCACAAAATGTTTGATCACTAACCACTAAAAATTTAATTTTTTTTTACTTAGAACCAAAACGCCATTCAAAACAATCTAAATTTCGCTAATACCAAACATTATTTAAATTAGAACATTTGATACACTTTTTATTGTTTCATTTGTATTCACGAACAGAAACGATAAAGTTCTGAATTTTTTGCAGTCTTACTTTTTAATTTTTTAAAATTGTAACTACCCCTGGCGATGAAAAGCTTTCTTCGTCAATATTTTTATTTCTAGTCAAACAACTGTTACTGTTACTGATTACTGATAACAACAATAACAAAGCTATAAAAAATTTAAAATCTACACATTACGTGTCTGCTTTGTTGAGTTCGTATCAACATTCTGGGTACACGCCTGCGAATCATTACAATTAATTAGTTTTGTTTCTCCATTAATTAGCTCATACTTGAAATGTTTGAAACCAGCAGACTGTGACGATTGGTTGAGCGTAAAGTTCTGCACGATAATTTTTATTAGATTAGAACAGCGTTCTATTAGAATTATATGAGAATGAAAGTCACAATAGTTGAAACGATAGTTCCACCGAGACGGTACGCTTCTATCACGAAATGTAAGCCAATCTTTTTGTCTCAACGATTGTAGTTTAGATCAGGGGTATCTAACCTACGGCCCGCAAGGTCCTCTCATCCGGCCCGCGGGGATATTTTATCCACGGAAAAATGTTTGTTGGAGGTGGTTGAGGAACTTTGCACAGAAAATTCAAAACAATTTGAAAATGTAGCCCGCCTTGTTTCAGACATTGATGAAAATACTGTGACTTAAACAGTGAAAATGCATGCAAGTTTCGCCATTTTTTAATTGCAATGGATGAGTCGCTGAAATTTATATATATTTCTGTATAATTTATATTTCGTGGGGGGTGGGGAGTAGGGAAAGGTGGTATATGTTCTACGGTGGGGAGGGGGGGCAGAAGCGTAGCGACCCTTCCCGGCGCCCGGGGACAAACTTTCAATTTGGCGCCCCCCTCGGGAGCAAATTTTCAATTTGCACCCCCCCCCCCCCGCATACTTTCGATTTGCACCCCCCCCCCCCCCCCTTCAAACTATTTATAATGCAAAAATGCAGCTAAATTGACATTTTAATTTGTTTTTACAACCCATTTTGGCGCCCCCTAAGGTCGGCGCCCGGGGACATATGTAGCCCCTGCCCCCCCCCCCCCCCCCCCAAAGAGATGCCTGGACGAAACTGGCCCCGGAAATGATATTTGCTAATTAATGCGGCCCCCGCACTGAAAAGTTTGGAGACCCCTGGTTTAAAACATCGATTTATTTCTAAAATATTGACTGAGCTAGGTTAGCATATAGCATATAAAATGTTTCTTTTTAAAAAACAGTTTACTAAAAAGTGAGATAACTATTAAAATTCAGTTTCTAACATTACTTTTTTTTTAAAGCAAAAGTGTGACGGCACACTATATGAAACCCGCCCCCCTCTCCAAAAAGTGTGACATCGTTTATGGGTGACCCCTTAAGGGATTTTATCAATTTTACTTCAACTTGGGTTTATTTACCTTGGAGAAAGGATTTGAGAGATTTCTGAATGTACGACAGAAAATGATCCCCGGTGACCAATGAGATCGATCAATTGTTTAATTAAACACAGTGTTCAGTTTTTTTCTTAAGAGCGGACAAAACTTAAAAACTGCCCCAACCCCCCTCACACACCAACAAATCTGTTTCTCATCCCTTTGATATTTTACTATTAGAATCCACTCTCTCGGCAACCTAACTTCGTTACCTTTGTATGTGTTATGAGACTAACCCCGAACTAAAATACCAAGAGTTACATCACAAAGTATTGTTAAATCAAAGTGACATACACAGCCAACATACCTGCTCTCAAAAGCTACAGCCAACATACCTGCTCTCAACAGCTACAGCAACATACCTGCTCCCAACAGCTACAGTAACATACCTGCTCTCAACAGCTACAGCCAACATACCTGCTCTCAACACAACCAACATACCTGCTCTCAACACAACCAACATACCTGCTCTCAACAGCTACAGTAACATACCTGCTCTCAACAGCTACAGCCAACATACCTGCTCTCAACACAACCAACATACCTGCTCTCAACACAACCAACATACCTGCTCTCAACAGCTACAGTAACATACCTGCTCTCAACAGCTACAGCCAACATACCTGCTCTCAACACAACCAACATACCTGCTCTCAACACAACCAACATACCTGCTCTCAACAGCTACAGTAACATACCTGCTCTCAACAGCTACAGCCAACATACCTGCTCTCAACACAACCAACATACCTGCTCTCAACACAACCAACATACCTGCTCTCAACAGCTACAGCCAACATACCTGCTCTCAACAGCTACAGCCAACATACCTGCTCTCAACAGCTACAGCAACATATCTGCCTGCTCCCAACAGCTACAGTAACATACCTGCTCTCAACAGCTACAGCCAACATACCTGCTCTCAACACAACCAACATACCTGCTCTCAACACAACCAACATACCTGCTCTCAACAGCTACAGCCAACATACCTGCTCTCAACACAACCAACATACCTGCTCTCAACAGCTACAGCAACATACCTGCTCTCAACAGCTACAGTAACATACCTGCTCTCAACACAACCAACATACCTGCTCTCAACACAACCAACATACCTGCTCTCAACAGCTACAGCAACATACCTGCTCCCAACAGCTACAGTAACATACCTGCTCTCAACAGCTACAGCCAACATACCTGCTCTCAACACAACCAACATACCTGCTCTCAACACAACCAACATACCTGCTCTCAACAGCTACAGTAACTTACCTGCTCTCAACAGCTACAGCCAACATACCTGCTCTCAACACAACCAACATACCTGCTCTCAACAGCTACAGCCAACATACCTGCTCTCAACACAACCAACATACCTGCTCTCAACAGCTACAGCCAACATACCTGCCCTCAACAGCTACAGTAACATACCTGCTCTCAACAGCTACAGTAACATACCTGCTCTCAACAGCTACAGCCAACATACCTGCTCTCAACACAACCAACATACCTGCTCTCAACAGATACAGCCAACATACCTGCTCTCAACAGCTACAGCCAACATACCTGCCCTCAACAGCTACAGTAACATACCTGCTCTCAACAGCTACAACCAACATACCTGCTCTCAACACAGCCAACATACCTGCTCTCAACAGCTTCTCCACAGCCACAGCCGTGTGGCTGGCGTAATGCAGGGCTGTCCGGCCTTGATGGTCAGCTATGTTGACGTCACATCCGGCCTCCATCAGCCGGCTGATGGCGTAGTACTGTTTGTTGCGGACAGCCAAGGTCAAGGCTGTGCTACCGTTGGAGTCCCTGGCGTTAAGGTTGCAGCCTTGAGCTAGGAGGAGCTAAACGGTAGCAGACAAGATGTGAGGAGCTAAACGGTCTCTTTCTCTCTTTCTCTCTATCCCTATCTCTCTATCCCTATCTCTCTCTCTCCCTCTCTCTCTCCCTCTCCCTCTCCCTCTCTCTCCCTCTCTCATTCTCTCTCTCCCTCTCTCTCCCTCTCTCATTCTCTCTCTCCCTCTCTCTCTCTTTCTCTCTCTTTCTCACTCTTTCTCTCTCCATCTCTCGCTCTCTCTTTCTTTCTCTCTCAACCTCTCTCTCTCTTCCTTTCTCTCTCTACCCCTCTATCTTTCTCTCTACATCTTTCTCTCCCGCCCCTCTCTCTCTATCTCTCTCTCTCTCTCCCTCTCTCGCTCTCTCTTTCTTTCTCTCTCAACCCCTCTCTCTCTTCCTTTCTCTCTCTACCCCTCTATCTTTCTCTCTACATCTTTCTCTCCCGTCCCTCTATCTCTCACACATTGTGTTTTACAAAAAACAAACACACATGCCAGTGACTGCTCACCTCCAAACACTCATCCCTGCCCCATCTTGCCGACACGTGCAATGGCGTGTTCTGTCCACTTCCTCTGGCATCCACGTCCGACCCGCTCCGGCACAAGATGGCCACTACGTCATCATGGCCCAGCTGGACGGCCAGGTAGAGGGGGGTGTTGCCGCTGGGGTCACAGGTATCGGGGTCACCCCCAGCTGATGAAAGGCGAACTCGTTTTTTTGTTTGATAAAAAAAAAATCAATTATTTACCCCAGCTAAATGTTAGGACCCAGGGATCGAGTCCGAAAGACCTCCCTGCGTCGACCCAGCTCTGATGGATACCTGACTCACGTCAGTGAAAGGAAAGGCAGCTAGGCATAGTGCCGACCACACAGTTTATTTGTAGAGCTCACTGAAAAAATGTATCCCACCACTACCACCACCACCGTGTATTGGCTATTATAAACAAGCATTTACACCCTCAGACACTCACACAGACACACACTCACACAGACACACACACACACACACGAACACACACAGCTCATGTACATGTAGAACAAATAGTGTCGTCCTCTTTTGTTAATGTTTTTATTTTTATTTCGGATTTTATCATACCAAGGGAAACAACTAGGACTGGCGTATAAAATTTAGCTTTTATACAGCTATTTCCCATTGAACTTAAACTTTTACCTAAAATTGATTTACCAAACTATTATTAAAAGTAAAATTAATAATATTTTAAAGCGTGACACCCAATTACAGACGTCGGGAAATTATTCCTAGATAATCTTTAGCATAAAGGTCACCAATAGTTTATGATCACAACAAAAGTCTTAAATAAGCTTACGCTTAAATGACCTGTGTTGTAAGTGTGTTAATGAATGTTTTGTTTAACAAAAATAAAATGATAAAATACTTCAAACGGTGTATTAAAATTTGCCCAATACGGCTGGTAAGTAGGTCACCAACCAGTTCTACGGCTCAATAAAACCTGCATGAGCCATAGAACTGGTCGGTGACCTACTCCCCAGCCCTATACACAAGATAACAAACACCTGGACAATGCCACCAAACCTTCCCACAAACCCACCAAACGTTAAACCAGATACAGACCAACCTTTGAGTAGACATGACACGCAGTCAGCAAAGCCCTCCCGTGTGGCGTAGATCAGGGCCTTGTCCACGTCACAGCTAGACCTGTGTCCATTGAGCAGGAGGGTGAGTGCCCGTGGGTTGTTGGCCTGCACGGCAGTGAGCACACTGTGGGGTGGGGGGGGGGGATTTTATTAGTGGTGGGGACATTATGCATCGGGACAAAGTGAAGGGGACCGCGCCAATTTAAGGGGACTGTACCAATTTAAAAATTTAGGGGGACATTACCAATTTAAAAATTTAAGGGGACAGTACCAATTTAAGGGGGCAGTATCAATTAAAAATTTTAGGGGACAGTACCAATTTAAGGGGACAGTGCCAATTTAAGGGGACAGTACCAATTTAAGGGGACAGTACCAATTTTAGGGGACAGTGCCAATTTAAGGGGACAGCACTAATTTAAGGGGACAGTGCCAATTTAAGGAGTACCAACTTAAGAGGTCAGTACTAAGATAAAAGCAACAGTACCATTGACGCTGAATTGTCGCTTTTCGAAAACTTTTTATTCTTCTTCGTTCTTAATTTCAATAACTAATTTCTGTTGCATTTTGCGACTATTACCATATTAATTTATACAACTAGAGACATTCCATATAACAAAAAAGCGAAGTTTTCCGTAATAAAGAAAGTACTCCAAAAAACGTACCTTAATTTTGGCATAAGCTGTAGACGCGTATACTGGGACAAGCGTGATGGTTACATGAGTTGGTGGTGTGTTCGTATGCTATTGAGAAGGTTTGTTTATGTGTTAGTATGTTTGTGTATTGGGTTGGCCATGTGTTAATGAGGTCAGTTGCTAGTGTATTGTCAGTGTTGGTATTTTGTTGTGAATGTGTGTTGGTGTGTTAATAATTTCATGTGTTAGTGTGTTAGCGGAGTAGTGTGTTATTGTGCTGGTATGGTCGTGAGTAGCATACGCTTGGTGTGTTAGTGTAACAGAGAACATTATAAAACCTTAAGTCCGGTTAGCCAGCTGCTAAAACGTAAACACACATACCTGCTCATTAGAAAAGTTGAACCAAGAAGACAAATTATAAATCTATTTTTAAATATTTGCTCATGGTGTCTAGTAGACAAGTACTGGGTGGAACAATAAACGATGCTCTTCAGCTTTACACCTTAAAGTGAGCTGTAAACATGTGCTGCAGACTGTGCTAAAATTAGACCTCACCTTGGGCACGTGAGTTGACCTAGATTCAGGGCTGTGTTGCGAAATGGCAAGGGAAGTAATTCAAACTTAAATTTCAAAACTGATAATAAACACAATTGTTTCCCTTTGATCATAAAACTTCAAATTTTTTAAATTTTTGAATTTCCTTTAGTATTTTAATTATTTTAAACTTTTTTTTTAGCGTGTAAGTAATGAAAACATTTAAAAGCCCTAAGATCCGAATTCGTGACATAGACATGAACATTTTGTAAGAACAGATGAAAATATAAATACATAGGCCTCTTAAATACAATTTTATTAAATTACCACGAATTATTGCTAGTATATAACAGCATCACTACCCCCCCCCCCCCCATAAACTAACTAACCACTTCCACATTACCGTATAAAAAACGAAGTGATCAGAAACTAAAGTGAATGGCTGAAGTCCAGTCGCGAGTTCAAATCCCCTTCTTTGAGTCCGTATGACGTCGCTGAGTCTAATCAGCTTTTACGGGTACCTGGCACGTTAAGGAAAGTAAAGGCGGCTGAGGTAAAATTTTAAAAAGCAAATACATTCAACTTCATCTTTCCCATAAACCTGAAGGTTCGAAAAGGTGTTTGTTTCTTCATGTTAATTTCTATAGATATGGATGTATATCGAGTATATATATATATATATATATATATATATATATATATATATATATATATATATATATATATATATATATATATATATATATATATATATATATATGTAACTAGGTGTAGTTACCAGAGATGATAACAACGCAATAATGCAGGTGTTAGGCTGATAACGATCACAAAGCCGCTGCGCAGTTCACAGGCTGACGTCACAGTGCAGATGGCTTATTAATCGGACGGTACGACAGAAGCGGCGTAATTAACATTCTGATGCAACGAGTAGAATCGATTACGATTACGATTACGATTACGAATCCGATTACGAATACGAAGGGATATATAGAAAGACGGCTGAGATATAGGAGGACAGAACGAGAACGATGATCAGTGAGGATCAGTCAGTCAAGGAGTAGAAGTGTGGCAGTATCAAGTTGGTTATTGAACGGGTTAGCCGTATTGTGTTAATAAGGACGATGGACATGTGCATTCAGTTATGTGAAGACTAGTGAGGACTGTTGGGGGTCAGTTGATTCAGACTATTATTGTGAAGCATTCCTTTTGATTCATTATATTATTGTGAAGCATTTCTTTGATTCATGTAATAAAAGGATCAATAGCGAACCTGCATCTTCGAGTATCTATACTGTAGTCGATGTTGTGTAGAATGAGTGGTTAGACTCGTTACATTTGGCGTTGTCGGCAGGATAGACTCGGGAAGGTTACATTTGGCGCTGCGAGCAGGGTGATTCAACTAGTCTCGTTACATTTGGCGCTGCGGACAGGATGAATTCAACGAGACTTGCCGCTTTAGGCACCCATAGTCAACCTAGTTCATAACTGTGTCTCGTGTGTGTGTGAATTCGGACATTCAGGAACAGTGAAAATTGAGGAACGAGGAAAATTTTTCATACACACACGGTAAGAAAGGTCTTTTCTTTTTTTACTCAAGGAATAAATATTATCATGTCTACTCTGGACGAGAAGCAGACCCATATTGTGGTCCTGCCCAGAGAGTCCCACATTAACAAATTTTACGGGGACGGTGATCCAGCTTTAACCAACAGGTTCAGTGAAGAGGTCAAGGCGGCCTGGGCCTCGAGATACATGTCACCAGAGGAAAGATTAAGACTGCTGATGGGCAGTATAGGAGAGACGGTTAGGGCAGAGGTCAAATGCCACGATAAAACCATCCAAGCAGATCCAGATAAGGTGCTGGATCTAATTATGGAGACCTTTGGGGAGAGACGGTCGGGATCGCAACTGCTATCGGGGTTCGTAGGCTTAAAGCAGAGAATGGCGGAGAGTGTGATGGAGTATTCACACCGAATGAACAGGGCCTTTGATTCGGTAAAGGGCAAAACACCTGACATTGATGTACGCCTACTGAGGGACCATTTCATCGAGGGGCTAGCAAACCCGATCTTAAGGAGAGAGTTGAAAGAGGAGGTCCACAAAGACCCGCAGTTGACCTTCCTTCAGGTCAGGAACTCAGCGATCCGCAGGTCCGAGGATGAGGACCAATCGAACTGTTCGGTAGACAAAGTCTCTGTGCCGGAACAGAAACAATCCCCACCCACAGGGACCGGCACGATGGAAACCATGATGGCTCAACTGTTGGCCCACCTGGATAAGGTTGACCAACGATTGGAGAGGTTGGAAAGCAGGTCAACAGCTGAGAATCAGGGCAAAAACGGGACAAAACAGGGACGGGTTGGACAGCCGCGACCCGCCGGTCCATCGCTCCGGTGGACGGCTGACGGTAGACCAATTTGCTTGTCCTGCTCACAACCCGGACATATGGCACGGTACTGTCCGGTGAAACGATCGCACTCTGTAAGGCAGGTCAAGGCTACAGAGCGGCGAGGTTATGGCGTAAGAAACAAAATGGGACAAACAATGAAAGAGTCTCAAACAAGACTCGAAGAGAAATTATCAGATATTGAAAAAATGAACTGTGAAATGAACTTGAATGTTGAAAAGTTTCAAGTGAACAATTTGTTGGCAGAGAAAAATGATGATAAGGAAGAAATTGGTAGACTTAATAATGAGATCTCAAGGTTAACCATGAAACTGGATAGGGAAAGTTCATGCAAATTAAAAGCACAGGAGAAATGTTCATCTTTAGAGTGTCTGTTATCTGAAGAAGAAAATAGAAAATTCGTACCTGGTTTTGCAAAAATTGCCGCACCATTGCATGACTTGGTAAACAAAATGACAAAGAAACACAGTAAGGAGAAAAAGAAAGGTAAAACACAACTGATAGGTGAATTATGGACTGATGAATGCCTGAACTCGTTTAAGCTCTTGAAAAAGGCTTTGACAGAGACGCCGATATTAGGATACGCAGACTTTGACAAACCATTTCGGCTAGAAATTGACGCCAGCTCTAAAGGTCTGGGAGCTGTGCTATCACAACAACAAAAGCAGGGTTTCAGGGTTATTGCGTATGCCAGTCGAGCTCTGAAGGAATCAGAGAAGAACATGACAAATTACAGCGCCATGAAACTAGAACTTTTGACATTAAAATGGGCTGTGACTGAAAAATTCAGGGACTATCTATTAGGTGCTAAATGTGTGGTATACACTGACAATAACCCCTTGAGTCACCTAAAGACAGCAAAGTTGGGATCCATCGAACAGCGATGGGCAGCAGAATTGGCACTCTTTGACCTAGAGATAAAATATCGCCCGGGGCGGTCCAATGGAAATGCGGACGCCTTATCAAGGAATCCTTACGAGAGACCGGGCGAGGAGGAAGAAACGCTGACAGGAATATGTGAGGTCAGAGCGTCAACAGATATCCCTCACGGGGTGCAAGTGATGCAAAACGGACAGACCGGGGTGGAGCACATTTCCACAGAGCCCGGACATATGGACATTAGTGATTTTAATTGCCTTAATCACAAAGAGATAAGAGATGCCCAGAGAACGGATAGTGGCTTACAGCCGTTGTTGAAACACGTCCAGGAACAAAAATTCCCAGGAAGAAGGGAAAGAGAACAATTTGGTCGAGAAACAAAGAAAATACTGAGTCAGTGGGACCGTCTCAGTATAAAGGAGGGTGTTCTCATGCGGAGAATTCATGACCAAATTGATGGGACAATACACCAGGTGGTGGTGCCTGGACAATTACGAGAAGAAGTGCTAAGGTTGGCACATGACAGGGCAGGACACCAGGGTCAGGACAGGACGCACAAAATATTACGACGGAGGTGTTACTGGCCCAATATGGAAATGGAGGTCAAACGCCATTGTGAGGCTTGTGTGAGGTGTCAGCATGCGAAAATGCCAGTTGTCAAAATGAGACAGCCATCAGGACACCTACTAGCGACAAAACCACTAGAGATTGTGGCTATGGACTTTACGTCGTTGGAGCAATCATCGGATGGGACGGAACATGTGTTGGTAATGACTGATGTATTCACCAAATGGACTGTGGCGGTGCCCACACGAGATCAGACTGCCAAAACAGTGGCAAAGGTCTTAATAGAACATTGGTTCATCAAATATGGCATACCAAGACAATTACACTCTGACCAAGGAAGGGCCTTTGAGTCAGAAGTAATTAACCAACTGTGCAGCCACTACGGGATCAACAAATCTAGAACAACCACATTTAATCCGAAAGGAAACGGACAGTGCGAGCGGTTCAACCGCAGCATGCATGATTTGCTGCGTACTCTAGAACCTGAACAGAAAAAAACGTTGGCCTGATTTTCTCCCAGAGTTGGTATATCTATACAACTGCACCCCCCATGCCACAACCGGCTTTTCGCCACACATGTTGCTGTTCGGACGGGAGGCTCGACTCCCTCTTGACTTGTTCCTAGGAAAAAAGGAGAGTATGACTGGCTCATACACCGCACTGGAATATGTGAATGAACATATGAGACGAATTAGAGAAATGTACAGGGTAGTACAGGAAAGACTAGAACATGAAGCACGGCGAAGGGAACCGCCGGTACAGACAAAGGACCCGCCACTCAAACTGAACGACAGGGTATTACTGCGTAGCCACCCGTTAGGCAGAAACAAAATCCACGACCTCTGGGGACAGGAGATATGGCAGTCGTGGAGATGCCTAAAGTAGCAGGTGGCCCCTTTAAGATAAGACCCATCGATCACACCAAACCGGATCGGTGGGCGAATATTGCTCAATTAAAGAAATATTGTCATAGTCAAGAAGAGCAGTTACACACAAGGAAACCTAAGACAATTAGGGAACCGGAAACTATAACGGAAATTCACATACCCATCCCGGAACCATGTCACCATCAACAGAACAACAGCGATACACAAGTGGAGGATAACGGCAACAAAGAGGATCCCGTTCCTCCCA